TGTCGGTCAACATAAAAAATGGTTTTCGCAGACTAAAACGAATGTCATAAATTCTTTAGTTTATTTAGTCGAGCACCACCAACAAGTAATGTATTTATCCGTCGAGGTAGATGTATTGTTTGCGGTGTTGTGCTCGATCATTTAAAATATTGCACATATGAGATTGGTCAGTCTTGTATTTTCATATATATATATTAAATTAAACATCTTTTAAAACTGGTTGTCGGGATATCCATTTTGGCAACCGACAATTTCTAATTTGGCAACCGACATAAGCATACCCTTAAAAGCTAATATTTATGTTCGTCATCCATGTTACCTTATTTTAAAACTAATATGCTTTCCCTAACATTGCAGTTAGTGCCAATTGGTAGAAAATTCAAGGTCAGTGGAATTGATTCGGACCTGGAAGAGGGCTGGACATCATGTTTAGAGGGGTTATCGCAACGACTACACATGCGTTCAACCCAAGTGAGTAGTGGTTTGTAGGCATATCAAATGACTTGCCACCAGATCATGTTACGTGGTTAGGTGAAGGGCCTAGCATAAATTCGAGGGAGCTCAAGTCCACTTGCCTCTCAAAGTGGCCCAGGCTAGAGAAAAGGAGGAAAGGAAAAGATGTTTTCGTGGAAAACTCAATAGACAAACTGATAGAAGTATTTACAGCTCTGTTGCCTGCTCCATTAGTTAACTCCACCATAGAAGATTTTTTCATAGTTCTAGATGTACTTCTAGAAGTTGTATTGATTCGACATTTTATATAAAATCCGTTAAACTACTCGAGGACCCAACACACAAACATATATTCATGAGGTTGTGGCTCGATCTGCGTGTCATATATTTACGTATTTCTATTGGTAATTGAAGATGTGTTGTCTGCTCGCTTTATTTCTTTTACTTTTTGTCTACATTGTTTGTTTTTTCCTTCTTTTTCCGGACAAAAATTTGTTGACATTGCAGTGATTTCGATTGTAGATATATTATTGATTTCATTTTTAGAGCTATAGATTTGTTCACTTTTTTCTTTATTTTATACAAGAAGTTTGTTCATTGCATAATACACTAACAAATCATTTATGCAGGATGGATCGACAGTTAGAGTGTTGTAAAAGAATGGCTATGGTGATTGTGATTATGCTGTTAGAATACTATCACTCCACCATTATTCCAACTCCACGCATGATGACGTCATTTATTGATGATAAATGGGTGGGTGAGATGCTCACTGGACATCCTATAAGATTCAACAATATATTTCGCATGAGCGTACCCATTTTTTTGGATCTCCTTCACGAGCTACATAGTAACTACGACCTCCAAGGTTCCTCCTGAACGATTACAAAAGAGGTGTTGTCAATAACACTTTACATTCTATCTCGAAACGAATAAATGAGAGGATTATCAAGCAATTCCAACATTCATTGGAGACAATGAGATGGTACTTATTCATAGGTTTTAAAGCACTTGTTAGTTTAACGACCCAAATAATTAAGCCACAGGATCCATTATTCGAGACAACTCTAAGATAAATTGCAAATGACACACATTACATGGCATTCTTTAAATTTCATTATGTTAACATTTACATCTCAATCAAATTAGTTTGCTAGCAACTACATCTGTTTTCTAAATTCAAATAGAACTGCATTGGGGCAATTAACGGTATGCATGTGGATGCACGCCTATCAAACCATGAGAAGGTTACGTACGTTGGATGGTGTAGATCACCCACCCAAAATGTGATGGTTACATGTAACTTCAATATGTGCTTGACATTCGTGATAGCCAGATGGGAAGATAGCAGCTTTTTGCCTACGCAACAAGTAATAGTAGACAAAGCTTCCCTCATCCGCTTCCAGGTCTGTTTATTTTTATACCACATTACTTGTTCTTTTTTCAATTGTTACTTATATTGCTTTTCAGAACATGTAAATATTATTTGGTGGATGCTGGATATCCCATGCAGCGAGGGTATCTAAAGTCTTTCCTAGACACAAAATACCACATTTATGGTTTTAAGATATCAAGTAGGGCTATCTGCGGTTAAAAAGTAATGTTTAATAAACGTCACTTTTCATTACGTGAGGTGATTGAAAGAACATTTGGGGTTTGGAAAAATAAATGGGGGCATCCTATGTGATGTGTCGACATTCCCTTTCTCTAAACAAGTACATATTGTGGTGGCTACTATGACGCTCCACAACTATATTCGACGGCATCACTCTCGGATAGATATGAACTTCAGTATGGTGGATGATGAATGGATGCAAGTCCCGCCTAAAGCATTTGAATTTTAGGTTGGGCAGTCTATACCACAGGCTTTATCGGAGTCAAATGAATTTGAGACTCATCATGGTTAAGGGGCATCAGAGATGACTGCTTTGAGAAAACATATCACAAATGCTACATTTGGATGCTAATTGGCCCAATATTCTTCATTAACCAGCCTCTATGTATTTTTATGTCGTTTCAACAATTGTTACTTTTGGTTTTACAATACTCACACTTGTATTTTCTAGTGTTTACGTTTTTTTTACTCCGCTTGTTTTATGTTGTTTTATTGACACACGCGTTGATTGATGTAGTTAGTTATATGAGACCTCACACCTAACTTTTCTTATTTATGTTTTTTATTCGATACCATTTTCATTTAATTTAATTATCGTGTATAAATTTGAACTTTAATTTAATTTTATGATATGATGAATGAGTTTTCTACTTTATTCTTGTTAAAACATGAGCTTCAGGATTTCAGGGACCTCCCGAGGTGTGTTGTGTTACTGCGAATAATAAGTTTCCTTATTCACGTCACGTCAGACATACAATTATTGAAGACAATTCTACGATTGCCCTAAGAGCGTCTCTGAGAGGTGCGACTTCTTCTGATGGGCGGACTTTCCGGCATATCGCATTGCCAACAGTGATTGGGGTAGGATGGTTTCCCATAAGAACATTGCAGCTCATGACGTACGTAGTCAGGGTTTTAAAATTAACATTTTAATAATTTTAATTATAATTGTAATTATTTTTATCTTTATTTTATCATTTTTGACACTCTTAAGCGAGGACTGTACCTTATTTTCTAAACTGTTATGAATTGGTTTTATGCTTTTGTAGTAGTCACTAAATTATCAATATAGCTTTGTAGCACACAACATTACTTAACAGAGGCAAAATTGTCATTTATTTAAAAGCAATTACAAATCAACTGTTCTCAAACAGCTTCCCCAAATAGGCAGTCAGCTTATTTGGATAATATGTAGATCAACAGATTATTAAGATAATATACTTATCAACAGATTGTTCAATAAGCTGTAGCTGCACCAAACACACCCTAAGGGTTTGTTTGAGGCATCTGCAGTTTTTCCAGCTTATCCAAATGAACAGCTTATCTTGATAAGCTGCTGATCAGCAGCTTGATCAACAACTTATTCTGATAAGCTAGCTTGCTGTTTGAAAATAACTGATTTGCAGCTGTTTGTGGATAAATGACAATTATACCCTTGTTAAGTAATGTTGTTTGTAACAGAACGGTCTTGACAACATATTCTATACTGCAGAAGCAGAAAAATAAATTCTATTTTTGAGAGTGTATCTATTTTTTGAATATCTTATTTTTATCCCTAAAAGCTTCATCATAACACTTTCATGATCCTTAATTAGCTAGACATAATTTTTCATTATAATATATAAGATTGGAGAACAAATAATTTGATGTGACATTGGTCAGCTAAATTGCAGTGCAGATGTTATGGAAAAGATTTGGTGCAAATTTAAGCCATAAAATACTTTTTGGATACATACAAAGAATTAGCAATTATGAATCTGATCAATACAAATTTTATTTAACTTTGAACTGACCATACATATGATTAGAAACCATACAAAATTGATCCACACCCAAATTGATTTCAGGACGATCAAAAGAATACATCGTGAATCCGGGACGAACGAAGGATACACCACGAAACTGGGATGAATAAAGAGGAAGTAGTGTGTGAACATGCTTACCTTGCTCGGAGCGGTGCGGAAGGATGAGAAGATGGGAGTTTCAGTGGTCTCTATAAAAGTCACAAATAGAGAGGAAGTAAGCGGCGACCCCTTCGTTGCCATCCCATCTATGTATCGCGAGTCGATGATTTTGGTATAGGGGTGTAAACGAGCCGAACACGAGCTGAGCCATGAGCTGAGCCAGCATGAGAGCTGAGCATGGCTCAGCTCGTGTTCAGCTCGTTTATATTTCGAGCTCAAAAAGTGTGTTCG